AGGCTGGCCAATGATCCATGAAATAAATCTGCCAGGGGATTTCTAGGAGATTTTTAGCTTTTAAGAGAGAAAGAAATGGGGTCCTGTATCCTCTGAGCATCATGCCATCTGGGTGAGATGCCTGGATCTATGGCAACCATCTTGTGACCAAGAGGGAAATTTGACCTGGGATGAAGCCAGCATGGAAGATGTTACAGTTGATTTGGGAGATTCTGTGCCCAGGATAACAGCATAAGGCCACAGTGACAACCAAAACTGAGTTTGCTGCACCCCTGTGCCTATAGGGCATAATCCAGTTCTCCCTGTTCACACCATTTGAAGCCAAAAGCTGCCTGACTGATGTCCCCAGTTCAGGGAGCTTGGCTCCAGCACCAGCATCTCAGGCACGCATGGCCATTCTGTTCAAGCTGGGCCCCCAGGTCTGCTTCCTGCTCATCACCTTCTGGATTTGTTACCACCCTAGACATCTGCTCATGCCAGCCTGCCCAGGTGTGCTAGCCATCACTGTCTCCTTCTTCTAGAAGGAAGGTGTTACGGAAGCCCTGGTATTGTGTTTCTGTTCATTGGGTGTCCCAAGCCTCTAGGACAGTGCCTGGGACACCAAGGGCATTCAAATGTTTATGGAAAGAGAAAAGAAGAAACAGATACGTGTGCACTGCTTCTTGACACCACTGGCAGGTCACACTGCCTGAGTACTGCGTGGTTCCGGCGCCAGCCCCAAGCTGGGATGGGAGGCACATCCCCATCCTCACCCCGAAGGCTCTGTTTTTGCTCCCTGCGTCCTCTGCTCCAGCTGCAACCCCCACACGTACACCATCCACCCCCACTTCACACCACACTCATCTCCCCAGGCCATCACCCTCCCTGCCCGTCCACCTGGAAACTTGTCAGGTTGGGACCAGCTCCAGTCCTAGCCACTCTCTGGGCTGCTCCACCACCTGGGTGTCTGTCATTTTCTAACTGTTTGCAGAACTGAGAGGCTGTAGATGAGCCTCTCCCTTCTCTTTCCTCACAAAACCTATAGCCAAGTCACAGCCCTAATGCTGGGCAAAGGAACCATGAGGACCAGCTCCACGCTGGCCATCCGACCACAGACCTGCACCTGGAACGTCACATGGAGAGAGTGGAGTCCACGGTTCAGTGGGAAGCTTTTCCGTTCCGTCAAACAAAGAACATCTCTTCTCACACAATACACTGTCACGATTACAAGTATACAGTCAGAAGAAGTGACCAAGCAAGCCAAAATTGAAGGTGGCAAACAGAAAGGGAAGCAAGAGGCCCCTTATATGTAATTCTGTCCCTGGATTGTTGAAATCTCCAGGGATTTCCATTCTCCAGTCCTCCAGCTGTGAGGCCAGGTGAGACTGAGGATGTCCCCTCAGCTGTGGATTCCCCAGGTGGAACCTGAGCCTGAGTGAGGCTGGACAGGGTCATCTCAGGACCCCGCCCTGTCCTCGGACTTAACAACATGTGGCCATTTGTGTTGAACGAATGAATAAAAAGGTGAGAACGACAGAACGTCCAAGGAGCAGTTCTCACCCTAATGGCCTGAGTGAAACTCACAGGGTCCCTCAGGAAAGACAGAGCTGAGACTCCTCCACGGCACGGACCAGTGAAGCCTGCACAGAAGGAAACGGGAATGGGGAGGGAGAGAGGCTCCTGTGTCTGCTCGGTCACAATATAAAGCTGTTCTCAGGTTCTTCGGGACCACATTAAAAATGCTGACCTCCACATTTCAGGGCCAGCTGAGCCGTTCTGGTTTTGACAGCATAAGGATTTTCCTTGGCCAGCTCTAGGAACACGTCTGCCAGGGACACTTCACCTCCATCCCAGAGGCGCCGTGGGGCCAGGGCTGCAGCTGGCACGAGAAAACCATGGGGAGCAAGTACCCCACCTTACACAGCCAGAGCTGGAGGTCCAAAGTATGCAGATACAGCTTCCAAGAAAGGCTCCTTAGAATACAGCCCTCTCTGTCCACCACCTATGTCTCTGTCAGGGACAGGGATTTTCACACCAGAGCCTTCGGGAGGCCGACTTCTCGGGAGCCACGCAGAGCCCACTTGCTTCCAAACCCCATTGCCAACTGGGGCTGTCCACAGCCTGCTCTATGCCAGCGTGGCTTGCTCAGTCACTGCTCAGACACACGTTGTCCTTCCCCAGCAGCGGGGATGGGGTGGTGCTGACCACGGGAAGCAGTTCTGACACTGAGCTATCATCACAGCTTTCAAAGCTGGCCTCCTGAGGGAACTGGCTCCACTTTGGGGTTAGAGGGGGGCTGGGTTGACCTGATTTTGATGACACCTTATCAGGTGGTTGGTTACCTGTGCTTCGAGCTTCTACCATCTGCATTGACCAGCTTTCCCCTTTAAGTGTCCAGTGGTTTCTCTTGAAAAATTGGGGAAAATACTGAGGAAGTGTCCAATTGGTCATGCCCAAACATTAGAGATGAAATCAGAGATCAAACCTGATAACTTGGAGCAATAACATGTTCCTGTATTTGTAAACTATTTTTATATAACTAGGAAAATCAAAAGACAATCATATAACAAAGATCTGCAAAGCGAGTCTGCTCAGGATGATGATACCTGACAGCATTAAGAAATAACATGTTCATATACTTGTGAACTACTTTTACGCAAGTTCAGGGAAATCAAGGGATAATTTTTGCAGCAAAGTCCTGCAAAGCATGCCTGCTCAGGGTGATGCTACCTGTTTCAGGTGCTATGGGGAACTTAACCATTTGTCAGACTTGCACAAAATGCCAGTGAACAAGTTGTTTTTACATTTCAGACTCCTGAGCTATCACCCTTCCCTTTAGCCTAGTCTCACCTTTGTAAGGTAAGAATTTCAGAATAAAAATATTGACATTCTTTAGAAAGTTAGACTGGGTACGCAGTTTTCTGTGCTTCTTAAATATTTAGGCTCCTTGGCCAAAGCTAGCAAGAAAAAGAACTTGCACTTGATCTTGGGTGTGGTCCAAATGCTCACCCTGCTGCCCACATTTGGCTCCTGGTGACTGTTAGTGACCTGCTTCCCTCTATCTTCTGAAGGCTAAAGCCACTCTTTCTTAAAGCAGCCCAAGCACAGATGACCGAGGATGGGGTCACTATGGCCACTTAGGTACCAATGCCCACAGTGGATGGAATCTGGGGGGGAGGTCATGATTTTCTGGTTCTCCCACCCCAAAACCCATCACATAGTTTCTATGTGGATGCACTTTACCTGGTGGATGTACCGGGAATGGGGCGCCCTGTGTCCACCAGCACGCACCAGCAGTACCCTGTGGACGGGTGGCACTGCACTGGCTTGTAGAGGCCGCCATGGGCACACTCGGGGATCACCACGTTGTCATTTTTGGGTTGCTTGGCCTCCTCAAGGGCAGACTGGTGCTCCTGGTCACAGGAGGAGGCTGGGGGGAGAAGGAAGGGAGAGGTGATGAGCAGGTTTGGGAAACTGACACAAGGCCAAGGGCTCAAGGCATAGTTGAAGTGGCAGAAAACTACTGTCCAGGAAAGGGTAGTGGTCACTCCAGGGGCAAGAAGGCTGACAGAAGGGAGGCCTGGAGGAGGCCAGGCAGCATGGTGATGCACTTCTCAGTGGGCGTACCACCCCTGTGTTCACTCATCTGCCAGCAGTAGCTAGGGACAGACACCGCACTCCCTCCCTTCACATAGCAGCATGGCAGTGACCTGAGACACGTGGTCTGCAAGGGGACTGATGCACATGAGCCCCCAGTACCCTGGAGGCACCTGGGTCTGGAGACAGATGGCAGTGCCCTCTGTTCCTCAGCCACATGCCATGAAGTTTGGGACGCGTCCAGCCACAGGGCAAGACCGTGGATCACCTTAGGAGACTCCGCAGTCCAGCCCCATTTCCCTGTGTTCCCAGAGTGTCACTCATCACAGTTCACTCCCTCACCAGAGGGGCCCTGGGAACACATCTGCTTTCCCACACAAGCCTTCTTGAGGTTCGACTTCAGCAGAACAGGTTCTCAGTGTCCACAGGGTGATTGATCACTTCAAAATTAATACAACTGCAACCGCAGTCCTTCTAAAGCAAGTCTCACAGTCACACTCAAAACTGGCTCAACAAACAAGAGAAAAGAAACAGGAATCTGGGCATTGGTTGACGTTTCTTGTTTTTCACAGTTGAGCACTTCTGTGAGTGTGTTCTAGGTACTGCCTAGGAAGCGCCTACATTCAACACAGTACAGGTGTTCTCACTCAGCTCTGCACGCCTGCATGGAGCTGCACAGGCTCTGAAACTCACAGGAAATACGGTGACCTTTGAGGACCCCAGTCTTCTCCTGTCAGTAAACTCAGTTTCTCCTTTGTGCTGAACTGACTTCTGTCCATGTGTGTATCTGCACACACACACTCTTGACCGGCCCACACCAGGCTCAGACCAACAGGTGCTCAGGAACCAGAGGCCATCCCCACCTACAGTGGCCATGGCAGGCTCACTTATATGATGGCCACAGGAGCCTCCACTCAGGATGAAAGATGCACACTGGAAAGGTGACACTTTGGTGGCAAGGATGCCTCTCCCAAATGGGAAGTGATTTTCTATAAATTGTGATTAAATATGCTTTGAAGACACTGACCACTGCTATAGGGTTTCATAAAACATGAGGAAAATCCAGGGCAGCTGATAAGGAGGGGCTTTGCTTCAAACCAGTCCAGCCAGAGACGGCAGGTGTGGTGCATGAACAAGGGCCAGCCGCTGGCTCAGATGATGTCTCTGAGTGCACATGTAGCATGCCCACTTTGTTCTGTCGGCTGACTGTCACTTCCCTCATTTTTCTAGTGGTAAGTAATATCTGGCTTATCGAAGTCATACAGTCCACTTCTTTTGAGATAATAAGTCATAGGATATAAGCAGTTGGAAACCACCTAACTTTTAGCTTTTCCAGAAAGTTCACTTACAATATTAGATTATTACATGTGAGTCTGGGATTTGTCCATCTACTGTATTACCAACTGCAAGTCTAATATCAGACTTTTAAAGGTCTAAAATTTGTGTGTTTTCAGGGGGAAACAAATTTACTTTTTTGATTCGGAAAGAACCAACACTGATTACCCTCCTGTGGCTTCATAGATTGAACCATCCATAGATGGATGATAAGACAGAAGTTAAATTGTGTCTGTCCAGCCTGATAATCCTCTAGGATAGTCAAAGAGACCAGGGATCATTCAGTTCTCACAGATGGCATTCAAAATTGGCTCAGTAAACAAGAGAAAAGAAGGAAGAATTTGGACACTGGTTGACATTTCAAGTTGTACCTTTCGTGTTTGTGTTCTAGGTATTGTCTAGAAAATGCATGAATACATAAATAAACCCACCCAAGCCCTATAGTTATCTTAGAGAGCTCTGTCCAACTATTACTAGGAAAGCGGCATTGAAATAAAACTGATAATTTCTTTCCAAATTGCTCCCCAAGCTTAGACCATGTGAGGAAACCAGGTACGACAGGCTTCAGCTGAATGCCTCTGGGGTGAACTGGATGCTGCTTAGAGGAATTCTCTGGGCCCCCAGTGATGACTGGATGAAATGACACAGAGAGACTAGCCAGGAGGGAGGAAGAAGAGGAGGAAGAGGAAATTCGAAGAACACCAACCTGGCAGGAGGAGGTCACTTTGCCCCACACGGACCTGAGAAGCTGGTGGCCTGATGCTAACATTGGCTGGGCACTTTGTCCCAAATCCTATCAGTGCAGAATTTATGGTGTGTACGTGGCCACGAAGTACTTTTTGTGCTCTATCCAAGGACATACTGTATCCATGCACATGGTTCTGGGAAATTCCTGAAATGTCCTTTTGAGGGTTTTATGTCACGCTTGAAGGTTCCTCATAAGCAAAACAGGGTGATTAAATCAGCTACCTCTTAACACTTTCTGCGCATGTGGTAAATCTGTATGATACTATAGCAGAGAGAAGAAATTCCACGCCCACATAGTGGGTGGTGCAGACAACGAGCCTCCGCAGATTTACTTGATAACCTGGCTCTGTGTGGGGAGTTCAAGCTTATTAGAGCAATGTAGTCACACCTTCTTCTAGGAAGGGCCGCAATGAAGGCAGAACAGCTTTAAACTTAACTAACACAACCCTTGGAAACAGAAGGCCATGCAGAAAAACAATCAATACAAGTGGTCCCCTGCCCTCCCCAGCTCACCCACTGTTTGCCAGGATCTACACTGGCCACAGCCAAGCTGAGCCAAGAAGACATTACTTGAGCAAGGCTCTCTGGCCTGAGGCCAGCCCTTCCCCCGTAAGGACTCTCAGGACACCTGTAAGCAGAGCTCAGTAGGGTGAGTTTACATGGAACAAGTCACATCTCAGCACAGAACTGAAGCTTCCAGTCACTGACAGGCCTCATGACTATCAGATCAGAAGGGGACCCATGGACACAGAGCTCAAAGGTCTTTGACGCATTCTGGTGAGCACTTACAGAGCACTAAAGGCTCAGGAAGAAGGAAATTGTTAGTGAAACCAAAAATTGGAAGAGGCAGAACAATGATGGAGGCAACAGGAATGAGGAAAAGGAGCTCTGCAGAGGACTGAGGGGAAGAAAACACTCAGCCATGACAAGAAGGTCCTGGAAAAAGCAAGATGTCAGGGCAGAAACAGCTGCAGTGCTGAGTATCAAAGATGGAGTCTTAAAATAATTACTGCTGGGCACCAGTGGCTCACTCCTGTAATCCCAGCTACTCAGGAGGCAGAGATCAGGAGAATCAAGGTTCAAAGCCAGCCTGAGCAAACAGTTGCACAAGACCCTATCTCAAAAACACCATCACACACACACACACACACAAAACTGCCTAGTGGAAAGGATAAGCTCCCAGAAGAATGACTATCTATGGAGAAAAACATTCTGGAAATAAATCTGCAAATACAAAATAAAATAATTAGTGCTCATAAAATTCGTATCATAACATTCCACTTTAATACATGAGATGAAAATACCCTCATTTCTTGTCTATTCAGAGGCCTTTGAGTATATAAATTTATACTAAATTTTGAGGAGTCAATGTATAAAGAAAGAAAAAATAAAAAATAAAAAGTTATTAGCCTCCAAGAAACACAGCAGGATAGAGGAACAAAACTGAGATGTCACACTGAGTTGATGACAGAGAAAATTTCTTTCTAGTACAACAGGACTTAAAATACTCTGAGGAGAATAATTTTAAAACCCATTCGTTGAGGTCCTATTACTGGAGAATCAGGGTGTGAATTCTTGAGCCTGTTCTGTCAGAGGGAAAAGTCATCACCGGGACCAGCAGGCGGGGGCTCTGTGCTGTTCTTGGTCATCCTGAGTGACCGATGGTCTGCTGCCCTTCAGTGAGAAATTGTCTCCGAGACTGCGCCCGCATCCGTCTGTTCCTGCCTCACACAGAGACTGGGTCACACGCGCTTCCGTGTGACGGTTTGGGCACAAGTTCTGCTTCCCATTACACAGACACAAAGAGTTAAAGGTCACATGAAGAAAAACAAGAGCCAAAACCCGAAGGAAAACTTTGTATCTATTCAACGTCACAGAGAGACTTTAAAATCTGCACGTCCGGTGTCAGAACGAGGAAGTGCTACATTTTTCTGTAGCGGTGGATTCCCTCACCAAAATGCTTTCAGTGTCTTGCGCTAACCACCGACCCCCCGCCGGAAAAGTAATCGACAAGAATGGAAATGCATCCTTAAGGTCCAGCGGATCAATCTGCATTTTCCTGTCCAGTAAAAGTTACCTATTCAACTTCCCAGCAGCACACACATCCGTAATATTGTTACATAGGAACCTGTAATTAATCAGCTACCGCACATCCCTCACAAAGGCCCCGACTTTCACTTAGCGCACTGACTTCGCGCTCATCCAAGACATCGACTCCACAGCTAATAACCTGAGTGCCCTGCCCCTGCCACAGCTTGCTGGGCTGCTGTTGACACTGTGAGCCACAGGTGCCATGCCACCTTTAGGGTGAGTGTGACTGTGCTATGCTGGCCCTCGGCTGGCTCTGCGGAGGGCTCCCCAGCTGAGAGCCTCAGCGTTGGTGACAGACACTTGGGCTCCGGGCCTCACATCCCACCCGGAGCAGTGAGCATTGATGACAGTCCTCTTCCACATTTTCTCATTAAATTTTAAGTTAGAGACATGAGTTCAATTCAATTTACTGCCACAAATATCAAATTTCATAAACACACAGCAACTTAATTTTTAGAAAGCTACTTTAGTAAAGTTGGTGGAATGCCTATTTTTTGAAATATTACTTTATTTTGGAATATTACTTTATTTTCAAACCTAGTAGCAGGTGTCAGTGACTTACCAAGTGTCTGACAGTTAGTTCAAATCGTCTGCCAAGCAAAAGGAGGGAGATGACGATGGCTGCCAGGCATTTATGAACTGTAAGCCTTAAATGATCAA